TGTTACCCTAGATTTAATATCTATTTAATAAATGTAACGTAAGAACATATGAGAGCGTTTTCTTTAGAAGAATGACAAAATTGATTGCAGGACTAGCACCATGTTATCTTTTTTTTTTCTTCTTCTTTTTTTCTTTTTTTCTGCTTTTTAGGTCATACCTGGCAATACGCAGTGGTTACTCCTGGCTCTGCACTCAGGATTTATTCCTGGCGGTGCTTGGGACACCCTGTGGGAAGCCAAGGGGTTGGCCGCATGCAAAGCAAATGCCCTCCCTGCAGTGCTATTGTTCTGGCCCTTTTATAACTGTTAGCTACAGTTTTTTAGATAATGTTTTATTTATTTGCTTTTTGGTACACATCTGGTGATGTTCAGGGATTACTCCTGGCTCTGCACTCAGGAATGACTCCTGGTAGTGCTCGAGGGATCATATGGGATGCCAGGGATCTAATCCAGGTCAGCCACATGCAAGGCAAACGCCCTACCCATTGTGCTATTGTTCTGACCCCTAGATAATGTTTTATTAACATAGCAGTTACTTACGGAGCAATTATGGGAGGATAATTTTTTTTTCATATTTGGTATTTATTAAGTGGTGTTTGAAACTGTTTTAAACCTGTGATATCCCTCATTTGCATTGCTGTGGATCTGACTTAAAGAATTTATGGAATATCTGTCACAAGCTTTGAATTTTTAATTTTTGTGACATCTGTGATTTTGTTCAGTGGAATGAGAATTCATTAAAGTAATGTTAACTTGTTTTGTGAAGCATAAGAGAACACTGACAAAAAGATCATTTATTGAGACTGAATATTTAAATGTGACACACTTGTCTTATAAAATAAAGTTACTATATTATTTTTGTTCTTTTTTTCTTCCTGTTTTCCTTAAAGTTATAATAATTAAATTAATAATACTAAAGTTCTATTGACCTACTTCTGAGCAAATAATTTATTAGTTTTACAACAGAAGATTTACCCATGATAGCCAAATAATGGTAATGTCTACATATATAGAAATAAACTGACCACTATGGTACGCCATACAGCTTAATTAGTTTTACCAGGCACTTTATGGGTTTCTGTTGAGAATGAGTTTCCAGAGTTGAATATATTCTCTCAGTTTTATTTCCAAGTAACCAATACACTCTGATGCATACCATTTTGCTGCAAAGCAGACTCGAACCTGCACAAGACCTGAATTTGATCCCCTTTACCCTACTGCCAAAAAAAGGTCTGATGTCAGTAATTATTCTAAGCAAGTAAGAATTACCTTATAAATAGTGTGAAGGTTCTTTTTTTGTTTGTTTGTTTGTTTAGGTAAATAGGATCAGTTAGCAGAAGGATTAATAGTAAAGAATCACAGGACTAGAGATGTGGTTCAGTGGTATCGCGCCTGTTTTGCATGTGTAAGGTCCAGGGTTTGAACTCTAGTACCACACACACAAGTAACAAGAATAATCTCATCATAAATATAGAGATATGTGTAATATATAAAGTAAACTTGGGGGCTGGAATGATAGTACAGGGGGTAGGGCGTTTGCCTTGCACGCGGCCAACCCGGGTTCAATTCCCAGCATCCCATATGGTCCCCTGAGCATTGCCAGGAGTAATTCCTGAGTGCAGAGCCAGGAGTGACACCTGAGCATCGCCGGGTGTGACCCAAAAAGCAAAATAAATAAATAAATTAAATTAACTTATTTGTCTTTTGCAGATGTGGTATTGATAAGACTACAAAAAAGCTAATACGTCATGGGTTAATGGAGATTTCAAATCTGGAAGTAGCAGAATGGTGGTGTTTCAGCAATTGTTTTTACCAATTCTTTTATGATATTGTTTTATAGATAATGAGCTTCAGTCCTCAAGATCTGCGAAGACGTTTGTGGGTGATTTTTCCAGGAGAAGAAGGTTTAGATTATGGAGGTGTAGCAAGGTAGTGTAATATGAATGCTTAGAACTTAGTTTATTTCTGTCAGAGGTATCATTGTTTGCTAATATTGTTTGTCTCATATTCCAGACAAGTTAGCAAATTATTGTACCTTTCACTATTTTGTAGTAACAGTGTTTCAGTGAACTTTAATTCAACATTTTTTAGGTTTTGCTAGTTGATTTCACTAATCTCATTCATTCAATTCTTGAGATAGCATTGTGAGATAGATTTTAACAGTGTACAGCCAGAGCAATAGTACAGCAGATAGGGCGTTTGCCTTGCACGCGGCCAACCTAGATTCAATCCCTGGCATCCCGTATGGTCACCCAAGCATGACCAGGAGTAATTCCTCATTGCAGAGCCAGGAGTAACCCCTGAGCATAGCTGGTGTGACACAAAAAAGGGAGGGAAAAAAAGGAGTGTAAATTTATAAGAAATTTGTAGTGCTGCTCTTAGATTCGCTGGCATGGTTACTGAGAAGATTTCTCACTCAATTTTCTTTTTAATTTCAGAGAATGGTTCTTTCTTTTGTCTCATGAAGTGTTGAACCCAATGTATTGCCTGTTTGAATATGCAGGAAAGGATAACTACTGCTTGCAAATAAACCCTGCTTCTTATATCAATCCAGATCATCTGAAATATTTTCGTTTTATTGGCAGATTTATTGCCATGGTAAGTAGAAGTCAAGAATTATATTTACATTGCTAATATAATGATGAGACCAAAGCATTGTTTCCCTAAGAATCTCATTTAATTTTTTTTCTCGTCACTAAGATCACTTAGAAATTGGAGATTTGTTTTGTTATATTTGCCTTTTCCCCTGGAATATGCTATAAGAGATCATATGACAAGGTAGCATTAATTAATGGGAGTGGAGGTGGGGGTTTCCCAAGAGTACTCAGGATAGCTAAGGGCCCTTTCCAATGATTCTCAGCCAAGATGCTATTGGTTCCGTGCAAGGCTCCAAGGTGCACTGCTGCTTAGGCCCTGTGGTGACACAGATTATCCAGAAATGGGGTTAGCTGCATATAGAGCCTGTGAATTAACTGGTGTTCTGTCTGGCCCATAATGTTATTTTTATTGGCATGTCATGATTTACTGTTACAATTCTTATATTTAGTATTTAGTTAGTGTCACTCTACAGTAGAGTTGAGGTAGCCTTTATTTAAATGAAGAACTCTGTAATACCTATTATAAATCGTTGGGGTTTGTTTGTTTTTTGTTTTCTTACATAGGCTCTGTTCCATGGGAAGTTCATAGACACGGGTTTTTCTTTACCGTTCTATAAGCGTATCTTGAACAAACCAGTTGGGCTCAAGGATTTAGAATCCATTGATCCAGAATTTTACAATTCTCTCATCTGGGTTAAGTAAGTTTATTTCTACTTAATCTATCAACATATGAACTACATTTTTGTTGATAAATTAGAGTATTCGAATGTAATTATTTTATTTAAGTTATTATCTAACCCTGTCTTATTCAGTATGAGAAATTTTACAGAAATATAATTAAATTCTTGGTCAGAAATGACATTGTCACGGTATGATGCTCTATTTCTTTGGTTTGGTACTACAGATTAATACCAGATCTTTAATACTTAAACATAGAACTTAAACATAGTTTTTTGGTTATAAACTTATTATATTGAAATTTCATAATGAAATGTTAATTTCATTTGTGCAGAGAAAACAATATCGAAGAATGTGGTTTGGAAATGTACTTCTCTGTAGATAAAGAAATTTTAGGTGAAATCAAGAGTCATGATTTGAAACCCAATGGTGGCAATATTCTTGTAACAGAAGAAAATAAAGAGGAATATATCAGGTGAGAGAGAATTCTTTTGATACTGTTTTGCCTTTTTGATGAACTTCAGTATATTGTTTATTAAGTTGCAATACTAGTGGACAGTGATTCCCCCCTCCCCTCCGCCCCGTGCTATATGCAAATATGCTATATGCTAGATCAGCTGAGTGCAAGGCAAGCTCTTTTTTTTTTTTCCCCCTTTTTTGTTGACACCCAGCGATGCTCAGGGGTAATACTGCTGACTCTGCACTCAGGAATTACTCCTGGTGGTGCTCGGGTGACCATATGGGATGCTGGGAATCGAACCTGGGTCGGCCGAGTGCAAGGTTAATGCCCTAGCCACTGTGCTATCGCTCCAGCCACAAGGCAAGTTCTTATAATTACTTTATTATCTCTGTAGCCCCTTGTTTTTCTTTTAGAAATACTTTTTGGGTCTAGAGTGATAACACATCAGGTAGAGTGCCTTACATGCAGCTGACCTGGTTTGGTCCCTGGCACCCTGAGGACTGCCTGGTATGGCCCAAAAATTTTTTTAAAAATTGTTTTTTTCCCTCCTCTTTATTATTGTAGTAGTTGATAGGGTTGTGATTACTGAGGTTGCACACATGTTTGAGTGTGATGCTTGCTAAGAATTTGCATATCAGGCTGTGGCACTTGCTCACTTGGCTAAAGTGGTGCTCATTGAGGTTTGCTCTCCGAGTTGCAGTATTTGATACATCCATGCCTGGGGTTGCACTTTTTGACTCGACAATTGCACATTTTAGTTGTGGTATTCTTGGTGGTTCACAAGCTTGCAATCCTGGGGATGACAAATAGCAGAGTTTAGCACATGTGAGACACTGGGAGAGTAAGCTTATGATTCTGTATTTGCAAGACAGGTGTTAAACCATTATTTTATTCCTGTCGGCCCTCTCCCTCTCCTCACCACCCCCCCCCAAACAAATGCCCTGTGATGCTTGGACTGACCAGGTGCAGGGCAGTAATTGCAGCACTTGAATGTCATTAGTGTCTCACCAGCAGCAGTGTTTATGGTGCCATGCATTGTCCATAATTGTGATTTTAACTGTTAACTGTATTTTCATAGATAAAATTGAAGAAAATAAAAATTGGGGCCAGGTATGAATAGTAATATAATGAAATTATTGATGTTGTGTCGAGTATGGAATATCTTCTCCCTATTGTTTCATTATATCCTACTTTTGCAACTACTTAAGGTTTTCTATAATAATTCCTCAGAAATTAAATTTACACGTAGAATTTAAGGGTATTGCTTGCTTTGGCAGCACATACACGAAAAGTGGAATAATGATACAGAGAAGATTAGCATGGCCCCTAAGCAAAGATGACACAGAAATTCATAAAGCGTTCATTTTTGTTTTTGTTTTGCTTTTTGGGTCACATCCGGCGATGCACAGGGGTTACTCCTCGCTCTGTAGTCAGGAACCACCCCTGGCAGTGCTCAGGGGACCATATGGGAAGCTGGGAATAGAACCCGGGTTGGCTGCGTGCAAGGCAAACGCCCCACCCACTGTGTCATTGCTCTAGCCCGCGTTCCCTATTTTTGAATATTGGTGGTGTGAAAATGTACACTGGTGGAGGGATGGTGTTGGAACATTGTATGACTGAAACCCGATCATGAAAGTTTTATAAATGTATCTCACAGTGATTCTTAATTAAAAATTAAGAAGAATTTAAGGGTAAAATCTAAATTTCCTGATACCTAATTTTGTTTTGAATATTTATTTACCAGAATGGTAGCTGAATGGAGGTTGTCTCGAGGTGTTGAAGAACAGACACAAGCTTTCTTTGAGGGCTTTAATGAAATTCTTCCCCAGCAGTATTTGCAATACTTTGATGCAAAGGAACTAGAGGTAATGGGATTTTCTTCTTTTTTCTGTTGCATAATAGTAAATGATGTCTTCAGGTGTCTGCTCAGTTCAGTTTCTCACCTTTCCAGTGAAAGTAGTAACTTTATGTGCTGGCAGAATGCTTTGAGCCATCTCCAGTGATTCATAATTTATCCAGACTAAGAGTATTGCAGAAAAATAGGATTATTCTCTTAACATTACAACAATGACTAATTTGTTACCTATGTGTATGTTACACTACTTATGGACATTCATATAACTTAAAGTTATCTGTTATATAGGCAAAGTTCTTGAAACAGTTTATAAGCCAGAACTTATAATTATTTCTTGAAAGTTGTTTAATACTATTAATTTGGGGAGTGAGTTAGGGTTTAGGGCCAAACCTGGCAATGCTCAGGGTTTACTCTTGGCTATGTGCTCAGAAATTACTTCTGGTAGTGCTTGGACGACCAAATGGCATGCTGAGGATCAAACCGGGGTTGACTACATGCAAGATTAAAACCCAATGTGCTAAAACTATGCCCCTAATATTAATTTTTATCTGTAAATTTGAGCTATAATTGACTGTAGCACAGTCCTCCCATTGTTCATCGATTTGCTCAAGCGGGCACCAGTAACGTCTCCATTATGAGACTTGTTGTTATTGTTTTTGGCATATCAAATACACCACAGGGAGGTGGTGCCAGGCTCTGCCGTGCGGGTGGGATGCTCTCAGTAGCTTGCTGGTCTCTCCAAGCGGGACGAAGGAATCAAACCCAGGTCGGCCGCATACAAGGCAAACTCCCTACCCACTGTGCTATCGCTCCAGCCCAAGCTATAATTGACGTTGACTTAATTTTAGTTTAGGGTGTACAACATAATAATTATAAATTTATATACATTGCAATAAATAATCATCACAGTGTGTACATTACCATCATTTCTAGCTAATTTTAAATCAGCAGTCTAACAACTTTTACATAAGTTGTATAGTTACCTAAAGAAACCATTTATCTGGGCACTGGTGGAGGGATGGGTATTAGATCATTGTATAATTGAAACCCAAGCACAAAAAATTGTCTACAACTGTACCTCACAATGTCTCACTAATAAAAATTAAAACATATATATATGAAAAAAAAAGAAATCATTTGTCTTTTTAATCCTTCAGGTTCTTTTATGTGGAATGCAAGAGATTGATTTGAATGATTGGCAAAGACATGCTATCTACCGTCATTATACTAGAACAAGCAAACAAATCATGTGGTTCTGGCAGGTTTGTCAACTTATTTCTATTGGCAGGCACTGTAATACTTTAAAATTACTTAAAATATATGGAAATATCACAGAATACAATGTACTAGTATGTTCTTACCCTTCATTTCATTCTATGCATTATAATAAATAGATGTAAATTATAATAGCATCCTTTTTAGAGTTGCCAAGAAGAATATATATCTTTATTGTGGGTTAGGAGTTGTTTATAAACTGCACCTGACAGTGCTCAGGTGTTATTCCTGGCCCTGTGCTCAGAGGAACAGAAACGGGTCTCAGTTCGAACTAGGGTCAGAAGCATGCAAGAGAAGGCCCTTTATCCCTGCACTGTCTCTTTCCGGTCTAATATCATTTTTTTTCTCTCTCTCTTTTCTTTATTTTTCGGTCACACCCGGCAATGCTCAGAGATTACTCCTGACTCTGCACTCAGGAATTATTCTTGGCGTTACTCAGGGGACCATATGCAAGGCAAACATCCTACCTACTATACTATTACTCCGACCCCTCAAAGAATAATGTTTAGGGCTGGAGCAATAGCACAGTGGGTAGGGCATTTGCCTTGCACGCGGCCAACTCGGGTTCAATTCCCAGCATACCATATGGTCCCCTGAGCACCTCCAGGGGTAATTCCTGAATGCAGAGCCAGGAGTAATCCCTGTGCATTGCCAGGTGTGATCCAAAAAGCCAAAAAAAAAAAAATAATAATGTTTAATCCTAGTTATACTATTATTTAAAATACTAATGTTGGCCAGAAAAATTGTACAATAGGTAGGTGTTTACCTTGCATATGGTAAATCCAGGTTCGATCCTTGGTATCCCACATGGTCCCCCAAGCACTGCCAGGAGTAACACCAAAGAGTTGCTAAGTATGCTCAAAAACAAAAACAAAAATACTAAACTTTTATATTTTTAGAATTGTATTAATAGTATTATAGCCATGTAACTTAGTCTTATCTACCTGTGCTTAAACTTTAAAGAACATTGAGAAAAGAAAGTTGTTAGGACTATCTTTATTTGGATCAAAATTCTATGACTTTAAATTCATTTATTCATGAAAAGAAAAGGTTTGTGCTGCATCATACTCATTGTCCTAGGTAACTACATGAATGTCATGTAGAACAGAATAAAGGGGAAAGAAGGGCTGCCTTTGGAGAACTGTTGTTGAGACTGTGATGAGTAGAAAACATTTCCCTATCAGAATGATTTTCAGATTTAAGTAGAAAAGAGATTGTGTAACTCTGGCTGTACAAATGGGGATACAGAGGGATCAATCATTGTCTACTGCATCTGACACAAAGGATTCAGCATTTAAAATAACCCTAATTTTTTTTGTGCTGAATATAATGTGATGTGTATCTATGTGTCTTTGGATATGCTTTCAACAGTTTGTTAAAGAAATTGATAATGAGAAAAGAATGAGACTTCTGCAGTTTGTTACTGGAACCTGCCGACTACCAGTTGGAGGATTTGCTGACCTCATGGGTATGTATACAAGTTACTTTTCCAGGGTCAGAGCAATAGTACAGCCTTGCATGCATCTAACCAGGGTTTAATCCCTGGCATCCCATATAATCTCTTGGCATCCTGTATGGTTCCCCAAGCACTGCTAGGAGTGATTCCTGAATGCAGAGCCAGGAGTAACCCCTGAGTGCTGCAGGTATGGCCCAAAAGCAAGCAAACAAACAAAAAACCCACTTTAGTATTATTAGATGCAAAAGTACTACCGATTTATATTTGTATTTATATTTATGTTTGTACTGGGTGTGATCCAATGGAACACGTGAAAATTCTTTAGAGTATAACTGTCGAGTACATGCAAAAGATGTATAAATATGCTACTTTTGTATTGGAATGCAGTTAGTTATAATTTTAAAAAGTCCAGTAGCATTAACAGCCCTTGTGAACACCAATGAGTATTTCTTAGCTGTAGTGAATGTTAAAGAAGCAATACTGTTCATAACTAAATAACTAACTACTGAAGAAGATATATAAAGAAAAAACGTATGTGTAAGGGTATTTGGTGAGTCCTATCGACAGTGTTTTCTAAAGGGGTAAGGCATATTAACCACCCTGGGTCCAAGAATATTCTAAGGGAGCCATGGCAAGAGGCCAACTAGTAAGATAAGATGGGAACATTGAGGGGTTTGCACAGGAAGGAAACTAGGTTGAGGGGCCAGAGATAGTATAGGAGGTAAGGCACTTGCCTTGCACATGGCTGACCAGGGATCCATCAGGTCCCCTGAGCATCACGAGATATGGCTTTCCCCGCCCCCCAAAAAAAAAGTGGGGGTGGGGAAATGATCAGAAAGGGTTTGTGATCAGAAAAAGCTAAGAAACACTGCCCTCAAGGAGCTATAAGCATAAACATTATTAGTGTTAAAGTCACTGGGTTGTTTATATTTTATAATGTTTAACAAGTTGTTCCAGAATCTGCTAGATAAAACTACATTTTTTCTTCTTGGCTATACATTAACAATTTCTCAAGCTTTTTCTTGAAGTTTCTTAAGACATGTATCGTTGAACCTCATTTACAAAGTTTCTGATGGAATTGAGTAACTTGGGATTTATGATTATAAGACATTTGCTGGTGTTATAGATGTTGATGGATTCGGGATCCCAGTTTGAGAGGCATTGTACTGCCAGACTTAACCATTTTACTATTTTCAGGGAGTAATGGACCACAGAAATTTTGCATTGAAAAAGTTGGAAAAGAAAATTGGTTACCCAGAAGTCATACCTGGTAAGTTAAATCAGAAAGAGATAGTCTCTCCCCACTCTAGCCCCTCACCCCCACTTGTCCTGTAGAATTCTTTTTAGGGCATAAAAAAGATAAGTAATTGATCTACTACATGTGTCTACATAGAAGTTGATAGAAACACCTGGTGAAAGGAATCCAGTTCAGTTTAGAAAGTTTATAGAAGAGGCAAGTGGAAGCCACAGGTTTTGTTAACCTACAGTGTCAGATTTTCTCCAGATTACTCTTCATGCAGTTAGAAGTTCCATTTAGTATCTTATTGATAGTTAAAATATGTACACACACACACACACACACAGAGGTGTCAGTCACAAAGAATGAGACTGATTCTGTGGCTTGTCCAGGTTGCAAACTAGCCTTAACAGCTCTGAACAAGGCAGTTGACTAGCCATTTATTGGATTAGATTTCTGCACCCACCATCTGGCTCCAAGTATGTGAACCTTTGTTTAAATTGACAGGTACATTAAGGACAGTTAGCAAATAACATCAAAAATTAGCA